TGTCAGCAGCAGTTTTACCCCCTATTTAACTGAGTGTGCTGTAAGTCATGGGGAACTGGACTGAAAATGCAATTATCCTATGTCTATCCATCTATACAGCTTCTTCTACCACACCCATCACAGACACATCTAAGAGCTTCTATTCATAAGAAATAGGCTGTCTGAGTGTGTCAGAGAGATAAGAAGCACTCACAATACCTGGTATTATATGTTTTTCCAAGGAGGTGGGGGTGAGCAAAGGTTTCAGCAGTTATGTCATTTTCCCCTGATTTTTTTCAGCAGGAAACTGAAATGCTCAGCTTCAGCACGGGCTTTACGATACAGCTGAGCCTTGGGTGGATTCCAGCCTGATCCCAGAGTCCCAGCAGCTGGCTGTCTTCCAAATCAAAAACCCATTTTTCTCTCCCACTACTTCTTCTTGGGATTTGATCCTGTAAGGTGCAGTGTCTGTCGACCAGGAGCCAGGAAAACCTAGAGCCTTTTCGTAACTGAAAGTGCACCTCAAGACTCCTGGGAGTCAATGGACAGGGTGTGTGCGTTCCTTGGCTAGCTGGAGCTAGAGTGACCATCACCTCATGGGACCAAGCCCTTCTCCACTTCTCAGCTTTTCAGTGGAAACAAAGCAAGCCTCCCAGAAAATATTTGTCATGTTTCCAAAAGCACATAACTCCCTTATTCTGTCTTTTGCCTTAAAATACAGCTTGCAGTTCATCCTTCTTCTTCCCTAAATAGCTGAGATTCAAGCTAAATAAAGGTAGTCCAGTTTGTTTTCGGCTGGAATGTGTTAGCTAAAGGAAACACTGTACATTGCAGTACAACTGTGCTGCTGCATTGTGATTATGCAGCTGATAACTCCCCAGGCAGCTTGCAGATACAGCTGAGAGCTCTTTGTTAGGTAGAAAAGGGAAGCGACATTGCTATTAAAAATGAGCATTCACTAAAATTTCAGGACTTACCCTGAGTCATCCCTGGCTCCCTTGTCTTCTGCTGATGTCTTCATCATTACAGCAAACTTTAAGGCACTTTCTGTTTCACAGTGGCTTTAGAGTTCCTTGCTGAAGAAAGCAATTCCGTGTCATTGCTGAGTAGAAATTACGCATCCTTAGGTTTTGCACTGAAGAAGATATTTCAAGGGGCAGCAGGGGGAGGATGTTTAAAACCGGCTTCAGGCTCAGGAGTATCAGAAGGCAGCGGACTAAACAAGCACTGAAATGAAAGCAAACTACCAAGAAGGTCTGATTTTAGCCTCTCTTATTTCTACTTCCTGTATTTATATGAACGAGGGATTTCAGGAAGAGGCAGTCTTTGGTGGTCAAGGGTGTGTGTATGTGTGTGTATTATAAAGCCATATTTAGTAGCGAAGGCAGGTTAATGTTATTAGAAAGAAGGGCCCGATACTGTTAGCTTCTAGTTTGTTTCTCTAACGTAAGCAAGTTGGGGGGGAAATTGTTTTGCAGGCTACAGGTATATCAGGAGGCAATAGAGGATAAGTGAACTTTGTAATGGATTTTATAAGGCAGCAAGGCAGTAAGTCTCAGTCTGCAAATTCCTGAAGCATGTGTATTTCTATTGCTTGAGTAACTGGAACCAGATGGAGCTTGGAAACCTTTGTATTTACACAGGACCTGAGAAAAGGAAACGTCTAACACTGGCAGAGCACAGTTTTGCAAAAAAATTCCCAGTTAGTGCAAAAGCTAATGACAAGATTATAGGACTGCTAGTAAACAAACAGCTATCCATGCCATAAAGTTTCAGTCTCAGAGCATATTTGACCTGGAGTTATGTAAGTAGTGGAGCAGCGTTTGCTCTACTGGAACCCGACCGAATATAGACCAGCTGTGGACGCTGGAGACTGAAAGATGTGCTGTTGGACAGAGCTGGTGGCACTCCTATTTGGCAGCCCTATTCTTCAGGAAATATTTGATGTTGGGAGAATATGTGATGGGAAAAATAAGGCAAAAATGTGGAGCAGAGGCTGAGAAAAGCAGTTGCATGAAACAGAGGGGGAGATAAAGGTTACCTTTTGCCACTTTTATCTTTGGAAGGAATTTCCTAGCTTTCCAGGATACTGGCCAGCAAGTAGACTGTGCCATAAGCCCACAGTGGAAATCAAAAAGCCAGTGTACTGGCATGTGGGGAAATCAGACCTCAGCGTAGAACACAGAGCCAATTCTGCTGGCACTGACTGCAGACCTCAGGCTTTGTCTGGGCTAGGGAGAGTCAGAGACCATCAAATCACACCTTTGTAACACAACACAAGCTAGTAAATTCTGTTGGCATTAGAAAATTTCTCTTAAAAAGCTTTTAGAAGGGTTTATTTTAGAAATTCAAGAAAGCCTGACTCAAAGGCTGCATGATACCAAATCCATCATTCCTCCAGGCAGGCTTAATTTTCAATATTATTAAAATTCACACCTGATTTTTTGCCTTCACTTGTCTAGTTTAAGCTTTTATCTACTAGAACTCATTATGCTCATTTCTACTAAACTAGGGAGCTCTCTGCTCCAACCCGTGTAGGCAGTTTCAGACAATGATGAAGTCACTTCAGCCCTCTTGGACAAACTAGCTGGCTGAGATTCACTCATCTCTCACTGCAGGCTTGCCAGATCTCAGCTCTGAATCCTTCTGTTGACTCTGCAGTAGAGTTGGTTCTGTGCACAGAGGTCCACGGAAAAATGTGCTCTGAGTTTGTTTCCCATCTTGGCACCTTTTAAATGTACCTTGCATGTTGGAATAACAACAAAATCCTGAATGTATCACACAAATTCAACTGTTCCCCAGGTTTTGATTTCCTTCCACTGCAATCTAATGGGAATCATTCCCATCGGGTTTACCCTGGCTTTGCCAGGAAGTAAGTTTGCTGAGAGGCAGAAAACCATAAAGGTGTGCTGTACTGCACAGATCTGCCCACAGGGGAGGGATCTGTGTTCACATAGATAGGCAGCGATCCTAGACAGACTTACAAAGAGTTAAGATTTTGTGCATGCAGAGTATCTGTTTTCATCAAGTGTTAGGCATTTCCCAGAAAGTTGTTAGTGAAGAAGAAACATAAGGACTAGAACTGTTAAAAACACACAGCAAAAATACAGAAGAAAATACAAAAATTCAATATCGTGGTGCTATTTCACTTTCACATGATCTGAGAGAAGCCTATTTTGTTGTTTTTCATTAAATCTTTCACTCTATTTGTAATTTAAAGAACATACGTTATTTCAAAAATTTAAAGCTCTGAAATTAGTTTTGTTAAAGATATTGGCTAAAAATTCATCAAGAAGTCTAATTTTTTTCTGCAAAATATTTAGTATTTCTGCAAAAGGGTTAAATGGTTAGTATTTCTGCAAAAGGGTTAAATGGTTCTGTAAAATATTTAAAATGTGAAAATAAAGAAATTTTGTCAGAGCTTTGCTGGGTGTTTTTTAGGAGATCTGAAAGGACTGGAATGTGACATTGTTCTAGTATCAGGCTGTGGAAGTAAACAGATTATACAAAAGCTAAATGACAAAAGTAATATCCAAATACTGCAAAATGCTGGTTCTCTGTGACAGATCCAAACCAAACAGGTTTTTAGAGAAAGAACTAAATTTTTCAACAATTTGGGGCTATTCAGATGTGGCATATTTAAAAAGCTCATTTCTAGCCTCAAAAATTGCATCAATTTCTGTGTGTGTGTGTGTGTGCACGCGTGAGAGAGAGAGAGAGAGAGAGAGAGAGAATGTCTGTGCTTGCACGTGTGCGTATGCGAACGAAGAGAATTCTTGTCTTTCCTAGGACTGATTCACCCTTTTCAGCTTAAACCACAGCATTTTGCAGCCTTTTTTTTGTATTTTTATGAAGCTGAATTGGAAAGGTTTAAAATGGCTTATAGGAGAAGCCCTTAAGTACAACAAGCACTTTGGGTATAATAAGGTGCTTTCAACATATGCACAGATTATACAACAGTTCTGCCTTCCATATAGTAGGAAGCAACTGCATCTGTAATATGGTATAAGATAAGAGCCTGTAGGAATTGTCATGCCTATTGTGTCACTAATTCAGGGATTATGGGCCTTTTACAGAGCCTTTTACATAACAGATCCTGATGGGTCATCATGCAAAACCTATGGGCTTTTAAAAGTATGGGTGCTGTCTATATTCAGATTATTTTTGAAGATTAATTTTATGTGTACGAAAGAATGCTTTTCTTTCCTCAGCTTAGAAAAAGTTAGTCTAGCCTGTACCAAAAAGACTGAATCCCTCCACAAAAGCCGAAGAATGCAGTATATTCTTTCTGCCTGCTTCACAAGGTTAAGAAAAATAAGGTCAAGCTTAATATTAAGTCCTATCTATCTCCTTGCTGACTAGGAGTATTAATGGGGAGAAGATACTTATCTAATGAAATTGTGAATAAACCAGCACATGAGACTAAACAAACTCTTAGTTCTTCTTTTTCTAAGAATTGCATTTAAAAGCTTTTCTTTAACCCAGAACAGGGGTCGTGTACCTACACAAGAAGTCATCTTAGGCCCTGAGACGGATTAGAGGGATGTTGAGAAGGGGCGCTCCAGAGTTAAGCGGGGATATTCTTTCTCTTCACAGTATCTCCAGAGCCTAGGCAACTGGGAAAGGAAAGTAGCACTGCAGGTGGCTACTTAGACATTGCTTCCATTCCCTCTAGTCAGCATCCAGTACTCAGTCATGGGACAAAGCAGCCAGAATACCATGATCAGGGTGTTCCTGAGACTGCCATAATGCCTTCTGGACTGGGGCCTTAGTACAGCAGACCGTGCTTTCAGCAAACCAAACATTTCTAGCCCCAAAAGAGCAAACCACTGTTTTGGAATTGTCGTGAGTCAGACTCTGACTCAAGAGTGGGCCTTTTGCCATTCAGTTCAGCACGGTCCCAATTTCACCAAGAAAGTCCAAGTGGATATCCTAGCAGGGTCCTGAAATTTTAGATTTTCAGCAACAAATATGAGAATATTTCACATGCTCTCATCACCAGAAAAAAATACAGCAAACACTGTAGTTCTTCTATGTTTTATTGACAGTGTACATATGTTGATATATAGTGCGTTACAATACTGACTGCTAGAATTTTTTATAAATGTTCAGCTCATTTTAACTATTTTTTAAAATTTTCACAATAAAAATAATCAAATATCATGCCAACATTTTTTAACAAATTATCACATTAAATTCGTTTGGATTTCATGACATATGTATCTGTACAAAGGACCCCATATCACAGAGCATTCACAGTGCATAAGGTCACAGTCTTTGAAAAAATAAATAACATGATAAATAGATTTGTGTTATTTACAGTTTACAAACTCATCCCTTTCTGTTTTCAAAGTAAGCAGTTCTAGAAAGTTTTAATAATATTTAAAGAGGTACTGCACTTCCCAAAGACGCATTGCAAATGCCTGCAGGTGTGAAACAAAGGAAACTTTAAAAGGTTCAGAAGTTCTTTCAGTCATCCTAAATGATTTCAAATACTTGCTTGCAACAGATAGTGGGAGCCAAATTCTACTCAGTTCCACTGACGTAAGTTTGTGCCAGTGATCAGGACATTGATGAGAACTGGCACCATTCCCAAGAACATGAAAGCAAGAATTTGATGACAACTTTGCTGCAGAGATTCAGCCATTTGGAACAAAGACGCTGCTGGGCAAGCAGATTTACAAGTGTTCTTTGCATATGCAACTAGTAATTGAATAAAGACCATAATCTTGCTGCAAAAACCCTCTAAAAACATGCATCTCAGTGAGTATTAGTCTTTCCAGAGACTGTGCCTGTCCAGTTTTAATATATCCCGATACCTTCAGATTTTTTCACAATTCCCTATTGCTATGTAACAACCTTCCCATTTGCCTTTCAAATCTACCAAGATCATCTCAACAATAAGAGAGCGACGATTACATACATTCTTCGTGCAAGAATAATAGGGAAAAAGGGAGATTAATTTCATACTGGTAATTGCCTTTAAGGAAATATCAAAATGATATTAATTTCCTATAATCATTCACTTCTTTCAGATAGTGCATTGTATATCGTTAAGTATGGTAGCAAGCAGAACACGTGATACACAAATTGCCACAATCTTTACACATCTCAGCCTGTGGAGAAGGAGCTATATGTATCTCAGATTTCAGGACCTGGATGAGTAGGATCTCACAGCTTTCTCTGGGGAAAAAATACCAGAACTCCACACAAAGGTGCTCTGTGCTCTGCTACTGTGTGGAAAATATATACTCAAGTTATTCACAAGGAAATTTTTAAACATGTGCATGCTAGGAAAGAAACTGGAATGCACCTGCCATTTGAATGACAACATTCTTTTCTTCAGTAAAACACTGATCACGTGTATACAGTTTTCAAAAGAGTTCATATGAATAATAAAGCTGCAAGTGGGGTTAGTACAGAATTGCTGGGACTAAATGCTGTCATTAATCCGTAATCATATAAATCTCACCAGCCAACAAATTTTGAAAAATCTAGAGAGTTCAGACTCAAAATAAAAAGGAAAATGTGTAGGAAGTGCAAGAGTACAGAGATTTTCTTTTGAATGCCTAAACACCAATAACTGAAGGATCTGAAGCTTGTAACAATAGAATATTACTTTCAAAGGTGCTGCATTTTAGTTAGCAAGATTCTTTGGTTTCACCCGGCTATCAATGTTATTTTAGTGTCTGTTTCACGTTACATTAGAAGGTCTGATCTTTCCTTGGCATGAATAAACAGGCAGTATTTATATAACCTAAAACACTCTATCAAAAACATCTAATTGCAGTACACAAATAAATGGCATTACACTTGCAAGAAAACCAAGAATGGAAGACGGCAAAACTCATGAGAGAATTCTGCAACTAGAGCAAATACATAATAGAAATTGGGCGTGCAATTAAAGCACAGTCACAAAGGGATTCAAAGACAGGACAGAATCTTCTCTATAATTGCTATATAAGAATTAGACTAGGAAAAAAATCTTTTCCGTATTCTTTACATGTCGACAGAATGTTTACAAACATAATCTAAAATCAGGAACTAATTATGTGTTTCTCCCAACTGCAGGAAACATAAAAATAAAATAAAATTGGCACACCTGTGACTGAGCCAGGAGAAAAATGGTTGACTCTGCTGTACCTGTGGGGAAGACTTAAGGTGTTCTTTGAGGCTGGACCACAACCTAGAGAGCAGCCCTTAGATCATCAAATAATCATGAAGATAAGCCCAACTCTAGCTTTTCAGATTTAGGTTTAGACATGTAGATCCTGAGCTCAGAATCCTTACTCAGGCAATACTCTCCATGCATAAGTGGGAGTCAGAGTACCTGGAGTGGGACCTCTATCACACAACTCGGTAATGCAGTATAACTGTTACGGTCTATTAATGGAATCGGACACCACTGAATTCAATAGAAGAACTCCCACTGGATTACTACAGACAGGATTTCACCCTGCAGGTCTACACGGGACTGTATTACTCCAATGGAATTGTAGCAGAAAAGACCTCTTAGAAAGCTCTTCTCGGCCTGCTGTAATTCAGTTTTCATCCTCCTCGTGCACCTGGACAAGCACACATTTTTGAAGTTGTCTCTCAGACAAGGTTCTCCTTTTATTAACAACACTGTAAATCTAAAGTGATAACGGCAGAGCAGAAGTCCATAGACTCTAGTCAACCCTTTTTGTTTGAGGAAGAAATAAAATGTTTAGACTACAGAACCAATAAAGTATGAAAGAATCTGAATGTGATACAAAACCCAGAGAAAATGCTCAGCTGTCATCCTAGGACACTATCCAGCAAGGCACTTGGATACACACTTAGCTTTAAGCATGCAATCAATCCTACTAAAGTTAAGCTTTGCTGGATGTGGGATGTCTTTTTCCGAGCTGTATTACAGTGTTAGCATGCTGGCAATTTTCAGATCACAGTAACAGTTTTCCCTCTCACATCCACCAGCTTTCGTTTCACTCTTGAGCTGAACATTAACTTATACAACATTGTGACATACATTCCAAACTCAAACAGCTAATTTTTGCAATGGTTAGCAGAACAAAATGGCTACAAAATTTTACAGATACAACCTGAATAGATGTGATATAAAACTGTACTAATTCCAGAGAGTCAAGCACAAATCACTGCTTTTCTTGCTTGCAAAACTGTAAAATTTGAGGAGGTTTCCTGATCATATGAGCAAATTTTTTGTACACGTGAAAGGCACTAGTCCGCTGTTACTCAGCAATATCTTCCTGAAAAACTGACATATTCTGAAGCAGGTGTATCTGACATGCAACAATCTGTCAGTCGTCTTTCCCACACCAGTTTTTCTCCATGGCTTGGTCCATAACTCTTGTCTTTGTTTATTTTAGCATATGGATAACGTCTGTATAGGGACTCTTTAGAATAAACTACTTCACATTATTTTGTGTCATCAAGGCCCTGATATAGTGTCTAATAATTCTTTGGCAAACAATAAATCTCTGGTCCTATGGTGCTGTTCGAGGAAAATTCTATTAACATTATACATAATGATAAGCATGGCAGGATATTTGTATCTGAACAGAAGGTGCATGTGACACTGCCTCAGGAGGTGCAGCATTACAATTCAATATAAATTGTCCTGAAGTGGGTCTGCATTTTAGTGAGGACTAAGAGATGACAGGACCAACCATGACATTTAAGGTCAGTATTACCTTATGGGATTGTCTCTGGCGACGACAAAACACACTAGTTTTCTGGTGCAGGTGATATTTCAACCACAAAAATGGTATCAATTTAGACAGAACAATCAGAAATAACATCTCAAGGATTCATGCCGTTAGTAAGCAACTTCACCTGTTTTTGTGCTGGGGAACAGCTGCTATGGAACAAATTGGCGTCCCTACTCTGAAAGTTGCCTGGCTCAGAAATATAAGGTACAGTACAATTTGCTGGGTCTGGCACTGTAAAAACTGATGCCCTCACCACTGTCAACTCAGGTTATCACTAGACATTCAAAACCAGATTTTGGAACTACTCTTTCGTAGTATAAAGACATCCGGGCAGCCTGTACTGTGCATAGAAGAGCAAATGTTTGCTTGGAGGCAGCTACTTCTCCAAGACCACACAAAGGCAGAACCTAGGAAGAACCCATTTAACTCAGCTTCCACCTCTACTTTTTTCATACCTAAGCCATCCCAAAAGTATCAGCAGCAAACCATCCTCCCGAAAGGTAGCAGGGAAGAGAGTGAGGCGTGAGAGGAATGCTCCTACAGTGTGTAGCAGCGTGCTGCATCTTCGCAGCTCTTCTGCAACAGAACGCTCATGAAGATGAACATGAATTCAAGCTCTTCTGCTTTACACTGTAGCAAAAATGTCTTGAATGCCAGGAAAGAGGTCATCTGCCTACTTGAGGACAAATACGTCTACTGTCATGCTTGTCTAGTCAATAAAGCATTTTAATAATGACAGATTTGTTGTCATTGTTAGGATTGATAAGTTTAACTATCTAATTAAGGTGAAAAATCCCAAACCTTAACTGGATACTAATACTGACATCTGTAACAAGCGTGAAGCAAATATCACATATATCGTCCTTTTTTTCCTTAGCATTATTTTGAAAGGATCCAATTCCTATTAAAATTCAACAGCAAAATACACTCCTTAATTTGTACCAAAATAGTTTTTAAAATAGCCTTAACTGTAAACACATTGCCCGGTGTAAACATTGTTTGACATGTGAACTGTTTGAAAGGAATTATTTGTCATATATGGCAAAATAAAGAACTTTCTGAGTTAGTGCTTGTCTACCGAAGTTTTAAAGTATATTCTCATTGACGCAATAATGGGAATTTTTATATATAGTCTAAAGTGCAAAATATTAATATATTTAAAAATGTATCAGCTTGTAGTTGATAGATTTGCTTTATAAACATTAAAAAATTAAAAAAATCTATGTATAAAGTCAACTGTGCTTCTTCAAAAACTTTATGTGCTCTTTCATTCATATACAACTTTAAGATATTTTTAAAGTTTAGTAGCAGTTTTAAAATATGTTCATTTCTCAATCATATGATTCTAAATCATATGACTACTACAATGTGGAATGTTATCCAATATTCTTAATACCCTGGACCATATCTTGCTGATCATCCAGAGTAATTCCTTTTATCAGATTTATGCTGGTGGAAAGGATATCAAAACCTAGGGGTTAATAAAGAAGCATATAATGCTTTAAAACTTGCATGCAATCAAATCAAGGATCAAATTCTCCTGATAGATTTGCTTTTGTCCTAGCTGTTTCTTATCTGCACTGCTCAGCATCAGACACCTATCTTCATTAAGCTTCCAGGAACATATAAAAAATGGAGAAGAATACACTAGTTTCTTGATTAATACATTAATGATGAAATAAGCTCCTTTCCCCACCAATCAAATCAAATCATATCCAGGGTAGGTTTTATTGTCAGAAAGCCTGGATAGTGTTAAGATACTATTCTCAGATGATAACAATAACTAATAGTTACTGAGCACCCAGCTGGATTTTATTTGTTTAGTTTCTTCTAAATTTACAAAGGTTGCTTACCAGGGCCAATGCAAAATTTATCTCATGGTGCAATATTCCAAACGTCAGTTCATATTTATGCATATGGCATTCTTGTTAATGGTAAAACATATTTTTCAAGTATGAATCTCTGCATGAAATTTTCTTCTTCAGTATTCAGATATTCTTACTTTTAGTGTGCATCATCAAAAGTGATACAACGTCAATCATTTCCTCTTCTTTCTCTGCAATGTTGTTCATGGTCATTGAAAAGAGTGATAAATAGTCAACATTACCATCAAAAACTGTCCATGCAGTTCCTCTATAAGCAGAGCACTTGAAGGGGGAAATGAGGTCCTCAACAGTGCATGCCATGATATGTGCCTTGGACTTTCTGGTCCTGTAGTTGAGATATTTTGACTGAGCCAAGAAAAGTTCTGAACTTGCCTCTTTTTCTTCCATGGACAGTAACTGTCAAAAACAAAAGCACTATAAAGGTTTTTCTCCAGTCCTTTTATTAACCTTGGTGAGGGTGTTTGATTGTCTGCAAGAGAACGAAAACCACAGCAATATATCCCAGAAATGGGACATTTGAGAGTTCTGCATGAGATTCACACAGCTGTATGACTGAGCAGCAATATCCAAAGAGGAGGAAAATGCTTTGGTTGCCTCAAGTGAGCACGTTAAAAGAAAGATATGTTTTCCTTCCACGCAGGTAAAAGTGCTTGTTAGCTGATGAAGCAGGAACGACACTCAAATTATTGACAGAGACACGGTAGAAATGTCCAGTGTCTCATGTCATTTACAGCACATGTAATCAAAAGAATCTCAGTCTCTCTCCTCACTATGGTTTAAAGTTCTTCTCGGCACATTGGGAAGTTGACAAAAGTGAAGACATTAAACTCTATCAATATAGAGAAACACAAGAAAATAGCATAAAGAAACAAAACGTAGATGCCTAATTTCCTGTCAAGCTTCCACTTATTTACATGGATTCCAATCACCTGCAAGCAAACAAAGTGTTAGTTAATTAGGCTCCAAAGGAGACTTTTGGAAACCATCATTACAAGCTAAAATTTAGAGTCTTTTGAATTAGAGATCCCTAACCAAGATTAATACATATTGTTGCTAATTTTACAGATTAAAAAGGCAACATATGTTTTTCTGATTAAGAAAAGGAATGTAAAAGCCCATCCAATAGCTCAAAACATTGTCCTGACTCTCTGCTGCACTAAGATCCTTTTACAAAATATTAAACGAACCTATTTCAAGGCTCCTTCACAAGTTCTTCATTTAACAGAGAATCAAGCTCCTAGGTGCTCAGTTTCAGTATGTGCTGCACTTTCAATACGTGGGACACATTCTAGTCAGGCAGCACTTGTTCATTGTTTCAGTATCAACTAAATTAATGCGCTGATGCCCTCTGCCTCCAGCGCCCCCTTCAGATCTCTTACGTCCCAGCAGTACACCAGCACCTAAAGTTCATTCTTTCAACAGCTTCAGAAGAGCTGGAGCTGAGCAAATCGTTAAAGAAAACAGAACTAAGGGGAGTTACAAACTACAGGTAGCAAAGTAGTGAAATTAACACAAGGCTCCTATTTCCAGTGGTGTGGAGTAACTCTGAATTATTATTTCGGTCTTGCTCGAAATTCTCTGTTGAGGTTTTTTGGGGAGCGGCAAGGGAGAAATCAGAGCATCCAACAGCAAAAATGAGAGAGTAATAGATACTTTGAACTCAGCTGATACGGTTTATGCTATGAGAAAGGTCTTTTTAGAAAACCCTGAACAGCTAGCATATTATTATCTGCATAGTCCCCCCATGTTTTCCAAAGTGCTGGTTACCGATACGCACGCAGTGACATCAGATACAAATGTCCAAAGAACACCTTTGCTGTTTCACAAGCACTGTGCAGTACGGCAGAATTGGGGATAAGACAGGAAAAGAAGAGGCTTCCACAGCTTATATATCAGATGCATTAGGAAGTTGGTGGCATAGTGAAGAGCCCTGGCCATTCTACCACTTAAAATCGTGCACAGGTGATGTGGAGCTTTGTAGGACCTAGCCATGCAACAGTGTGAAAACTCCAGTGATGATCACCTCCTCTATAGAGTCGCCACAGGCAGTTGGTGAAAAGATGTTAGTAAAAGTGGGTATTTATACCTTTGGGATTTGATTCTTCCCACAGTGGGTTCCCTGGGAGTCAGCAGGATCAGACCCTAAGTACCAGCAAAATTGACTTTTGAAACAGAATTATTGTTTCACCTTAATAAGTCATGTGTTACAAGGATAAGGGCCTTATGCTGAGCAACACTTAGCATGCTTATTCAAAGCGCTGAGCTTCACAGTCCTCATAGACTAGTCTTCTTTAAGGCTAGAGCACGCTGTTATTCCAAGCCGACCCTGGAAATCAGATGCAGAGGCATCTCATCCCAACATATAGTAGAGACAGGCCGGCAGTATGCATCTAGACACAGGAGCACCGAGGTAGTACTGGATCCAATAGTTTCAACACTGCCATTGAGATCAATGGGAGCTATATGTATGCAGCATCTCTTCTGCACCAAGTGCCAGATTTCAGTCCTGACTGAAGACAATGACGGCTCTTATACTCATGATATTACTAGAGGGATTGTATTTTCTAAGACTCAATGCTTTGGGGATGATAAGTACTTCCAATTTGTCCTTCTATAATATGTCAAGTAAATAGCTAACAATTATTCTATAATCTGAGTACTCCAAGGAGTTACATTTGGAAACACACAAATACTTACAGTAAGTGCCACTGATCCTAGTAAAAGTGCAACTGAATAGACCAGTCCTTTACTGTTTATCTTAACCTGTGGGAATTAGACAGAGAAAAGATCTTTAAAGCGCTCCACATAAAATAATTGTGCTTTGGAGATCAGAAACCAATTTATTGACTTACGGTGGTCTACATCCTGTTCTGAATAGTGATTGACTTACAGATTTTAAACTATGCAAATCCGTGACAGATTTATCATAATGGAGAATGGGATGGTTACAGAATCAAAACAAATGGGAGTTCGGGGTGGGAGTTATCCCACGTCTATAAAAGACATGGGCATTATAGTGGATTTTTAGTTAAATGATCCTCAGTAGAGATACACCGTTGTTCTCGTCTTGCAGACAAAAATACTAAGGCATAGGGAGACGGACAGATGTGCTTGAAGCTGCACAGTAAGGAAACGACAGAGCCAAGAACAGGCATCCATGGCCCTATTTTCCTGCTATACAATATAACGTATTCCAGTTGACAACAACGGGAATTAATTGTGTCTTGTGGAAGGAAAATTGCTCCCATAACTCCTGGTTCCCTGGCCAAGAAGTAACATCTTATTTAGCAATCAAAAACATGCTCAGGAGATTTTTTTTTTTATTTGCATGCTTTCTTTTTAGGACATGTTTTTTTAAACAAACAAAATGGACACAGTAAAAATACAGCCAGTATACATACATATGATCCATAATTAACCACCATGGTCTGCAAGCCCCATGGAACTCCAAGGCCCACCAGAATGTCAAAGACATTGCTCCCTATTGTGTTGGATACTGCCATGTCACCAAGGCCTGCAGAAATAAAAAACAACTCTCAGCCAAAAACAAATATTAAGACCAATACTCCACATATTAAAGGAAATTAAAGGAATTAGAGTATCTGAGGTAGAGAGATAATTTCCATAATCTTTGCATGACTTTTGAAAGCACTGTGCAAAAATTGCTCACTCCAGCTACATCTTCCTTGTGGCTTGGATAGCCTTTACTGGGTGAATGGTAGCCATTCAGCATCTGAGTTCAATTCCAATTAAAACAGAAGTTGATACACTTGTTCTAGACAGTCTGCAGCCAAAGAGAACCTGGAGATTGTCTCCTCGTTTTAGTCTGTGGATACCTGGCACTTAGGTCGTGTCAACAACGAAACGTGATCCTGAAAAGAACTAAACCAGATGGGAGTCAAAGATACTAAGCACCTCTGTGGGAGCAATAATTCACTCTAAGAACAATAAAGTGCTACAGGAAATAAAAAAAGAGTGAACGGTGCTGAAGTCACTAGGCATTACTGAATATAGGCTCCTCGTGCTCATCATTGGCTGGCATCTCATTCTGCACCAATGTCAGTGGAAGTGGTGGAGGCCTCTGCTAATTTCCCTTAGGCACAAGCCTAACTATTGAATCACATACACAAAACACATACCCAGTGGGAAGGAAAAGAAACTTTGATGTTAATGGGACAAATCCTGCAAATACTTATGAGAGTACACAGAGCAGAGACAGACACTGCTGGTCACAAGTACAGTCTCTGCATGCAGGGAGATGCTGAGAGAAAAGTTATGCTTCAGATCCACATTATGGCATTGTCAACTCTCTACTCTTTAGTTATTTGTCTGTAATCTGTCTTGTAACCATCTCTCTCGTAATCAAGTGGTACAAAAGCCCCACACGGTCCTTCAGAGAGAGGGGCTGCTTTTTGCCAAGCTTGCCTTCACTTTTGGAAGAAACAATACCTACAGTAGTCGGCCTAATACTAAAGAAGAACCAGTCTAAAGCAGCAGCCTATTCATTTTAAAATGAATTTTTTCCTTCTCTTCTTCCAAAAATCTGTTCACTTTAATACTACATATGGAAAACTAATTTAGTAGGAAAGTAGTTCCACAAGGATCCTGAATACTTTTGTTTTGCTTTCTTCTGAGATTTTCCTGCACACCACAAACAACGTAAACTGGAGAACTAATTATTTTAAATATACAATCCTTTTTTATCAAGCAATCCCCTTCTGAAGAAGAGATTATGTCTAAAGTGTGACTCTCAACAACGATACATATTACTTAATAGTGCTATTCCTATCTCATACTGCAAAGATGGGACTTTCAGGTAGCTAATTTATCACTTCAGAAACCTTGCTGTTTGCCCACTGATGTGTAATGGAGAGCTCATTATCTGAAAAGAAGTCTACAGATTTAGAGTAGTGGACATGTCTACAACCAGAACCTTTCCTTCTACTGAAGTAAAGGACAGTACACTGTTTAGTATAAACTGTCAGGTTTAATGTTTTTCAGTTGCAATAGGAAAGGATGTGGCTAGAGATACTTCTCAAGTGAAAAAAGGAAATGTGAAAAAACTTAATCAAAAGTTAAAAACACATGAGAAATATGTGACGGTTTCAGTTAGAAAGTTGAAGAGGACATTGCTGACATTTATCTAAAACCCTTTCCAGTGCCTCTGTACTTCTGCCAGATCCTCCTAAACCACTTCTCTTCCCTGGGTTCAAGAGGTCTTTTGGAAATCAATACAAGTTTCACATGGACATGTGCTGATCAGCATATATTCTTCAGCATAGTTTTTTAATACCTGATATTCCAATTTTGCCTACTACTTACATCTTTTTACCCTGAGTGATACATACCATGCACGGGATAGCTGAGTGTTGAATGACCTAGAATGCTAGGCTGTGCTCAGTCCCATAAAGCAAAAGATAAGAGGATAGGGATGATCTTTTGGTTCACGATACAGTACAAATAAAAAAATAAACAATAAATTTGCATTGAGAATCTGCATATATGGAGGAAGTAAATTACAGAAAATGTATTTAAGATTGTAATTATGTTTAATCAGACAAGGTACCTTGTCTTGCTACTATTAAGCTGGCCATGCAGTCTGGGACGCTTGTTCCTGCAGCTAGGAAAGTGATGCCCATGATCACATCTGGTATCCCAAGGGTGTATCCAATCACAGTCACCTGAACAGCAAGGAAAACAGATTAACTTGCAATATTTGGAAAGATCCCCATTCCAATACAGTTATGACACACTCTTAACTTCGATCTTTGGTGTGGACCCTGACAGGATTACACTCAAGACACTTATCCATTTCTGCAATAACCAGCCTAGAACCAACCTTGTGAAAAGTATTTTGGGGTGTATTCTTAAATATTTTATGAGTAAAAAAAAAAGATCCCTTTTCTGTAGTACTAACAGGACATACTGATCTTTTAAGAAGCAGCATATGGACAATCCAACCTGTTGGGGGTTTTTTGTTGCTGTTTTTTGTTCCTAAGAACGACAAGATTCTTCCTAGTCCAATTCCCAAGAATTCAAAGGATTCGAACTAATTTATACTTGGACACAGGGGCAGAGATACGAAGAACTTATTTTATCCCAATACATGAAGAAGGAACGACTTTCTTGCATGACTCCTGATATAATCCCAAAGTGAGCAAGTCTTGTTATACTGTCCCTTGGGGATCCTGATGCACCTTTACAAGAGCTTAGGGAATGCCTCAAGCTTGTAGCAGAATTCCTTCAAATGACAGGCTACTGTATTTAGGTGCACATCCAAAGCAGACTGAAAAAGACTTAGAAAAAAGGCTGAATAGGTAGCCAAGCACATGAAGGAAATAGCCTTGTGGGGGTGAAAAGACTGAAGCCAGGACAGGGAGCGGCTTCTCTGTCACCACTGCTAAGGGCAAAGGCTGTAAGACATTCCTTTAAGGCTCTGGGTTGTTTTCTTGAAATAGTTTGCCAGTCTCTTAAATGAGGGAGGCTGGATCCTTCAGCCAAACAAAAGGTGTATTTTAGGAATGCACTCACCAGCCTTCATATTCTCAAAGGCAAGCTGCGGCTCAGAAACAACAGTAGGCATGAATCTCCTGCTGTAAATGGTAATGGGGTACTGAGGTCTGGCTGCCTCTTGAAATAAGAGGTGTTGCAGCCTTGGTGAGCACATGTCTCTTGTTTGTGAGAGGGACATCTGCAAATGACACCAAGGCCTTTCATGCATGGTCTTACAAAGGACAGATGGTATGAAATGAATGCGTGGCTTCGGCACAATTATACCAGGAAGAATGAACGGCTGGCATATGAATTTCTCTTGAAGTTCTCCAAAACAGTCCATATCAGGAGAGAGGGGGGTTACTTTACAATTCAAAATTTTATATATTAAATATATAGAGAAAACAGAATCTTCCACAGGAGAAAACATGAATATAAAGCAGTTCACAATTGCCGAAAACATTTGGGGAAGAGAGAGCTGTTCTCCACCTAAAAAAAGTTTTGCAGGTAAGAAGCTCACAAGCAAAACTTCTTCTAAAAAATCACACCAAATTTCAGCATATTGCATTTCTATGACTGTATATATTCCAATATGAAAGAAGTCAACAGTTTCTTCACTGCATTTTGTTTTGAAAGAAAAAACGGGCATATGAATTCTTCCAATACCACAAGCCACCAATCTTCCAGTTACAGGTATATACAACGTCTTGGCTTTGCATCTTTCAGCATAGAAGAAAGGTAACTTCAAAGTAAACGTCAAAAGTATGATTTTTTTTTCCATTTCTAAAACCAATTTGAGGCACTTTCCTATTTGTGCCTCTTCTCTGACTGAAAACGTACACTTAAAAAGAGAAACTAAATGATAGTAAGAAAGAAAAAGTAGGAACCTAGTCACAACTTCAAGTAAGTGTGCTCCTAAATTGAACACAATTTACAGATCTACACTAGGAACAGTCTCTTTTTAATATAGCTAGGGCAAATTGAAACATTTTACAAGCAATCATGGTATTCTTCCCTAAAAAGGATTTTATTGCGTTACTCTACTCAAGGTATTTTACAGCACTTGTGAGTCTTCAAATCTTGCTACCCATCTGATTTTTGTACACTTTTCAGTATCACCTGCATAGCCATATTTCTAAAGGTATCTCAAGACAGATGCTGAAAATGAAGTTAGACCCCCATCTGTTAGTAAGATTTGGATGCCTACATTCTTTTGAAAAACTAGCTGGCACTTTCCTGTATCTATAAGTGCCCTATACAGTAAGGAGAAGGCCCAAATATTTGTGCAGAGAAGAGCAGCATAAAGCTATAATTATAATAATTAGGATATTTGCTGAAGAGATTGCGCTATGGGTACATACGCTTCTTTAACACAAACACAACAAACATATTAGCTATTCTGAGATGTACATTTCACTTACTTAATATGGCAAGCCTTGCTACATGCACTTACCATCCACACCATAAAGTAGGAAAACAAGGCAATCCAAAGAGTGGATAAGATGAATGTCAGCATAAAAAAATTCTCCCAGCGTGGTTTGCTGCAGTTTGGAATGGTGCAAAAGAGCAGGAATATCAATGGCCATGTCAAAATCCATTTGATTTTGTTCATTTTTCCATCTGCAGGACAAAGAAAGGAAAGAATCAGTTTAGTTTTTCTATCACTATCCCAGGCCCAGTTACACCTCTTTGAACACAGCAGACAGTAAGATCCCAGAAAGCTGGTTACAGCTGTGCGTGTCAGCTCATTTTCCAGTGTACCTTTCATCCTTGCTTGCTCTGTGTTTATACCGTCAGCCAAGTTCTGACCTTGCATGCATGTGCCAGGATATTACTGTTCAAGCCTGTCAAAGTGTATGTAAATCCAAGAAAGAAACAGAGTCAGAAAGTATGGCTGCTTTTAAAACCACCATACTAGTCTGGTTTATTGCTCTTTCAAATACGTGTATTGTTATTATTAATTCAAAATAAAAATCAAAAAAATTACTTTTAAATAATTCTTTAAAAGGAGAATTGAAAGGCTGGTAGAGAAAATAGTCTGCACCTTCTGTGCAACAATAGAAAATACTTTTCATATAAGAACAGAATCACAGACCCAAACTGTGAACATGACAACCTTGTTCCATATCCTTGACTGTGGTCACTCGGAGAGCACCTCAAATCAGGATTCAGGAGATCTAGACCTGATAACTATTTCTCCAAATGTGTTTAGCACCACCTTGGGCAAGTCACTTAGCCTCTGTAAAGAGGACTCAAGATAACGACTGCCCTTCTACAGCTCTCTGAAATCAACTGGTGAGCAATACCAGAGACCTGTTACTACTGATAAAGGCAAGCATGAACTTTTATATTTTTAGAAAATGATAAGTACTGTAAATGTGCAAGTAAATCTCAATACATAAAAGAGACTTATTTTACAACTGAGCATACTTTACAGAGTCATAAATTCCGCAAATTGCAGAATTTCTACATGTTTCATGAGGTATCCTGCAAGTAGAATAACATATCTGTTTTTGAGATTAAACCTGAGTTTTACAGGCAACTGCATGGTGTTTTTTGTTTGGGTTTTCTTAAACATTTTTACTATAATAAGGATACAAGGATTAACAAGGATTTCTTGTTATTTCAATCAGTATAAATAAACTGATAACTATATGTATGAGGTCTATCAGAATATGTCATTTTGAGCAAAATGGCTGATCACATTGAAGAGAAAAACTATCAGATATGTCTTCAGTGAAGTTATATAGCTAAATTTATAAGGGCCCTTAATAATCAGGGAAAATTCCGTCAGTTTCGCAAGGAATTTTCTTTCAGTAAAGACACTGGGATTTAGGATTTGTTTATGGGAGTTTTTCTTAGTTAATTCAACTAGATCTGAAATCTGCCATCTGGACCTATGTGCATCACAAGCAATGAAATTAAATGTTAGACGTTTTTAAATGCAGTAATACCTCTGCAATCTGTGAGGCTACTTACTAGTCTAATTTAATGTAAACAGTCTTCATTCATTTATTTGAGCACATATTTCAGTGCTTAGCTACTTTCCCGCTTAAGTGATGAATTGGCTCCTTAATTTGAGATTTCCTTGTGAATTCTGAGAAGCCATCAGCCCACCAGGAAATCTAAGCATAAGCCTGGCCCTTTATTCCCTTTAGTTCGCAGCTGTGGAACTTTCAACGCATAAAACTGTTAAGGTCCCTTGGTCAATTCTATTCCTGGAATTTTACATGTCACTGGGGAGCTATTACAGATTTTACTGGAAAGTCCCTTTTCTCTCCAGTTACATACACTACTATACAGGTTTGTAAAAGTTACCTTTTATCTGTTCTGTCCAGAAAAAAGAAATGACACTTCTTAGTTCACATCTCACTTTAACTCTGTTTACAAGGCTGTAAATATCAAATGATAATTTATATCTCCTTCTGTTTAATTTGTTTCAGTTTGGATCATTATAAGATTCCTGCT